GTAGTTGGCGTCTACTTCCACCTGCTGATGACCGATGCAGCCTTCTCGGTCCTTGGACAGCAGGCTCAGCGTGGCGTACATGTTGGTCGAGGAGGTGCAGCTGTCGTAGATTTCATAGCCCAGAGTGAGGTTGGGCAGGAGGCAGCTGGAGTTGTTGATCTCCTCCACAGCGAACCGCATGGCCTGGACGAGGTGATAGCCATGGAGATTCCTGTTGTCATATGGGCTGCACAGAGGAGAAGGAGATTGAAGCCGTCAGAGGCTGATGTTTCTAAGATTGATGCTGAGCAGGGGGTGTAGCTGCGGGCATCATGTGGTCCCTGGCCATCAGATCCCTTTGCCCACCTCCAACGCCTTTTACTTGTTTCAGTGCATATGTTTAATCCTCACAGTTCGCAGGCAGGAAATTGCTCAGCCACGTGCATGGTGAAGACTCAACAGCACTCATTGCTGGAGCAACTGAGTGGCAAGTAGGTAAAGGACTGAAGAAAGTGCTTTGTCACCCCACAGTGCCACATATTTATCCTTTATTCAGAAGCTCCTTGTAGGTCGTTGTGGCCAAAATGGTGTGACATGACCAAAGTAATCCAGTGAGTGTGCTCTGAATATGTGCCCACTTACCTTCTCACTTACCTCTTACAAACATCCACCTCTGGCTTGGATTTCTGGCTTCGGATGATGTTCTTGCGGTGAATGGGAAATAGTCCTGCAATCATATAATCTCCTTCCAGGGTCAAGGGGGTTGAAAGCCCCTGGCTGCTGCCGCCCCACAGAGCCCAAAGGGGCAGGTGTAGGAAGAGGAGCGAAGAAGGAGCCATCCGGGTGGTTGGAGGAGGCACTGACAGAACCGCCAAAGGATTCTCCTTTTGCAAGGCTCGGTTCGGTCAGAACAGGGCGTCGGGCAGCCCTGCGGTTAGCATCTCTGAGCCACCCAGCATCATTTCCATGAACCTCCCCACCTGGAGTTTGTTTGCAAATGGCACTGAACATCTTCCGGGAGCAAAGAATACCAAGCAAATTGTGGGGTTTAATTTTCATATCCTCTTCATCAAGGGAGTCCACATAGCATGATCTTTACTTCCCCTGGGCTCCCTAAGGATTTCTGGAGGGAAATAACCCACACCTCTTCTTCTATACCTCTTTCTCTCTGTAAGGGTATCATCATGACCACGATTTCTGTATATCTTTCTTTTCACGGGTTCTGCCATTCCAGCTCTTGAGCCTGGCAGTTTCCAGAAGCATGGCATCTCTGTGTTTGCCTTTTGTTCAAGCAAAGGGGCAGCTAGGGGTTGAACTTTGTTGTATTCGCGAAACAACTTTGTTGTTTTCCAGTTCTCTCGCCCCCCTCCCCAACCAGTCAGGCCAGGTTGACGGGGCAGATCGTCAAATGTTCTTTCAGGAGAAAACTTTGAACAGTGGACCGGGGNGGGGGGTTTGGTGCTCATGCAGCTCCACTAACAACAGTCCGTGAACCACCTTTCTGAGGCCAGTTCTTGGAGATAGCAGCACAATATTTATTGAATATTTATTTGTTGAATGCCTATATATCTAATCGAATCTTGATTTGTTTATTAAAATCATCCGTGTATAACCCAAACCATGCTGCTCAAACCCATGGGAGCTCAAAGGAGAAATATAATTGCATCTGGGCAATGTCACCATCCTTACTTTTTGAGCTTTACGTCCCCTTGCTTCTACAGATCTCTGTGAGAATGAATTTTTGAAGCTTCTTCATATACTGTATATATAAAAAGTCAAGAAACATATTGCCTGTTGAGAATGACATGAGGAGGTTGGCTTTAACACTCAGCCATGAATTTTGAAGCTAGTTGCCCAGATACAAGTACTACCATTGCATTAAATATTAGGTTAAAATTATATTCTGAAAAATGTCTTTCACTGTGTTTTCTTTGCCCCATTAAAATGCCCTTTTATGCAGATGTGGCGGCTGGGGGAACAGCAGGTTGCTTGGCTATTATAAAAGTAGGTCAAGACAGGTTGGGAACCACAGGTTTATAGATTTCTGTATTTGCTCTTTAAAGCAGGGGAACTCCTAGAAGAGAGCTTGAGAGAAAGGAGGAAATTCTTCCACATAAAGCAAAAGTTATGGTTAAATCTCTTATGTTTAAAAGGAAGGCCATTCAGATGAGATATTAGCGCCGTCCTCCAGCAAAAACTCTATGGACCCATGAGTGCGCTCTTACTGTGCACCCTTTAACTGTCCCCAAAGTGAACACTAAAGCCTAATCCCTCAGTGTCACTGACATGCGACATAACATCCAACATGACATAAACTGGATGAGGGTGAAGAAACTGAAACTGAATCTAGACCATATGCCCTCTGAAAACACAGCTATGCAGCCTAGGAGTACTCCTGGATTCATTTCAGAGCCTGGATGCCCAAGGTTTCAGCTGTCGCAAGGAGTGCCTTTGCACAATTAAAACTAGTACACCAGCTGCACCCATCCCTGGAGAGGTCTGATCTGGCCCTGGTGGCACATGCCTTAGTTACATCTCGGCTGGATGACTGTAACTCGCTCTACATGGAAATGCCTATGGAACGTGTTAAGAAACTTTGTTATTCAATGATTCTATGAAACTTCAGTGGGTCCAAAATGCAGCAGCCAGATTGCTAACTAGGGCTGGACACAGGGGTCGCACAAGTCCCCTGTCACAGCAGCTCCACTGGCTGCTGATCTGTTGCCGAGCAGAATCCAAAATGTTGGTTTTCATCTATAAAGCCCTAAATGGCATGGTTCCAAGCTATCTCAAAGGTTGTATCTCCCATTATGAGCCTGCTCAAGTGCTAAGACCATTAAGAGAAGCCATCCCCTTAGTCCCACCACCTTCCCAGTTGGGTTTGGTGGGGACATCAGAGAGGGCCTTCTCTGTGGCTGCTCTGAGACTCTGGAACTCCCTGCCACTGGAGGCCAAGCTGGCCCTATCTTTGCTGTCCTTCTGCAAGCAGGAAAAGACCTTTTTCTTCAAACAAGCTTTCCCTAAGTGGGGTTATTAAAATAGATTGTCGTACTTTCCTGCATTGAAGGTGTTTTGGTGTTGCTTATGTTTGTTTGGCGGTTTTTTGTATTGTATTCTTCCATCCATGTAGTATAAAATTGTCATTGTTACTAATATTAAATACTGTCCTTTAATTGTTGTAAGCTGCCGTGGATCCTTTTTAAGGAAAAGGGTGGATTTTAATTGAATAAATTTAAATAAACACTGTAGTAGTAGCATGGATGAGGTGACACGATATATAGTTTCTCATAGCGTCAAATTCCTTTAAAACAGATTTCCAGTGCCATCCTACTCACGGGAACATAATCTTTACTCTTCCAGTCCAGTTAAGCCATACCAGCTACGTCCTTGTGTTATGATACCTGATAGGCATGAGAATGGTTGTATTAGAATGGACCCAGAGTCCTCCTTTGGCTGTTTGTTTCGTTTCTGGATGGTGTATAGGATGGAGAAAGAACCATGGTCCCATTAGGCAGCCATTTGGGTTTGCACTCTTCAGAACAGTGTGCGGAACATTTCGAAAGATGTAGGCCACGGATGTCATTTCATGCCAGTAGACTCGTTTTCTGTTGCACCTGACATATCAACAGACCAGTTTCTGTTTGAGTTCTCAAGAATGGCCCTTTTTGGTGGGGGAAGCCTGTTGATCGGGGGGGGGGGGGCGGCCACCCCGTTCGATCCAGGAAACTCCCAAATCAGCGAACGGGCAGAAACAAGCAGCTTCGGCTTGCTTGCAAGTCGCTGGCAGCCGGCCAAAGAAGCAAGAACCAGCCTTTTGACATCGCTGTTTACCATCGGGTGAGACTTTTATAACTAATTGCTTATACCCCTGAAAAATTCCTATACAGTATATGGAAAAAGAAATGCTGTCCCTCAGAAACTAAAAAGCGGCAGAAGATCTGGTGAGAGGGATAGCTGATGGAAAGGAAATAACTTTAAAATATACTTTGAGAATATTACAGTTTGATGCTGTGAAGCCTGAGAAATTTTCCTGCAACCTATATTTGATAATCTGAATTTTATTTTGACTATTTGGAATCTCTTGGCGTGGAGCCCAGGAGCTGTGACCTTGACTACTTGGCTGTTATTCCCTTTTGACTTCCTCTGAGCTTGGCTGGGAAGTTAACCCTAAAGTGGACTTTTAAGGCCATCAGCCGTGGATACAATATTGCAATGGCACAACAAGGAGAATTCTGGAACAGAATAAAACTTGCACTTGAAAGAATATTGGACACCGTGAAATCTCACTATGAAGAAG